TTTTAGTGGTACATGTTCCTATATTAGTTTTCAATTGCAACTTGTAACACTCAAAAGCATTGGTTTTAACTTTAAATTACAGTCTACTTTTTTATGTTCCATGCTTTTTGGTAACAAGATTCTGCAAAAAGCAATGACTGATAAAACAAACTGTTCATCTCATAATCTCATGTAGTTTATAAGGTCATAATAACAATGCTAAAAACAGTTAGCTTCACAACCTTTTTTTATTTGCTTGTTTACTTAAAAGGAGCAAAAATCTACCACAATTTAAAAACAAATACAGATAACTGAAACCACTCTTCACTGAATCTAAATTTTCATAGTTTAAACTCGACGAAGAACGTCGGTTAGTAAAACTGCAGATTCTCCTGTCATCCAAACCTTGAAGTCTTTGGGGAAGTAATCTGCGTCGTGCCAATGTTTGAGTTGCGTGAGAGAAAAAGGTCCTTGTATATTACCTTCAGGATCTTTGTAGAACCAGTTTAACTTCTCTTTATCATAAGAGAGAACCTGATCATCTTCAACTCTAGGGTCAAGAGTCACTCCATTATCGTTCTCGTCCTCATCATCATCGCTTAGTTCGATAATCTCTGATGGATTTGGTTGAGCTTGAGATCCGTTGTTGAGATTAATCACTGGTGTACTTAACTCAAGCTGAGAAACATTAGACTCTTTAGGCGGCGTCTCTCCTCCAATGATGTCACTTGCCGGCTTCTCTACATCTCCATGAAGATATTCATCACCTGTAATAGAGATGAATTCAGGTTGGAATCAATTCCAAAATATCTTGTTCTTTTAGACGGGTTGGGTTACTATACAATAGAGCAAAGCATTAGCAGAGCAACCAATTGACGCAAATCAATTTCTTACGGCAATTCCTCTAACAAAACCATCAATAGCCTCAAAGATAATATTATCTCTCTCTTCTATATTCACTAGCATAATTAGCTCGCTTTCATCTTGAGATTCGAACAAAGCACAACACAGGAGAAACAACAATGTAGATGCCACCAGATGCTGTCATAGCCTAAATGCTTCTACAGACTGTCCATGAAGTTTCAAGAAACACAATTCCTCTGGCGTGACTCTTCCAATTTTTGGGTTAATCAAGAAATTCATGTGACTAATGCAGCAATGTCCACTTTCTTTTCAACATATATAAGGCAGACAAGATGCAAGTATGTTGTCACAGGTAAGAATAAGTTGTAGCTAAAGATGAGTAACATGCTAAACAAAACCAAAACTTGACAGATAGAATAATGAGCAATGATGGAAAATGCAACACCCTATACATGTTATGACGCACCTGCAGAAGCAGTCCATGTTGGCAATCTCTCGTTTAGTTCCATACCATAAGTAGTGGTTCTGGGGTTTGATATCAGAAAACCATTACATTGTTGATCTTCTCTACCAAAGAGGTTGCGAATTTCTGGAGTTTGTTGGATGCTTGACATTGGAGATTCACTCATTTGATGTTCATTATCATCGCTTTTATAAGCCTCAGGGGACAACTCAGGGTTTGGTACAAGTTCCTCTTCAATAACTTCTGGAACTTCACGGAATAGACGGGACTGTTCTTCTGGATTTTGAAGAAGCTCCCTTTTATCCAGGTACTCAGAAAGCGTAACAACTCATAAAATCAAGGAAAAACTATGGAGACAAAGAGGGTATTTTTTTTTTCATTTCAGACCTTGCTATCACTTTCTCCGAATTGATATTTAATCATTTTAAAGTTAAAGAAAACTATATCCTCATAAAAAAGGATATTCTCTTCGAAATCCCTTCTCGTTGGCCCGATCAATAAGCCTTTGTAACAGTGCAATTTCTCTTCCAAGCCACTAAAAAGACAGTCACCAAAGTTGACAGTCGGTTAAGAGAAATAGGACAACAAATCTCTTTTAAGCTTAAAATATAGTTAAAAAGTTTATCATCTTAAAAGTACTGCGCTGCAGATGTTATCATTGTAGTCATGAAAGGAAGTAAGCAAACATACGTGTTTTGTCTGATCTTCATGTAAGCTTCGAACCTTTTCTTCCATCTCCACCTATCCCAGGTTCAAGTGAATTTTATTAAACAACTATAAAAACAAAATCTAAAAGCCCACAAACAGCAAGGTGGCAAGTCACTTGGATATATGGCAGACAAATGCAAATCTTTAATAGAGAGAGCTGCAAATAACTTCCAAACCTGCAAAATGAAGTACCTTAGCCTTCTATATAGAAAAATAAACTTACAATTGTGGGCTTCTTAAGAAAACCGTTCTTTATCCTCTGATGCAAATCTTCACATTCCTCCTACAAAAAGTTTAGATAAAGCTGTGATAAATCATAGACCATAAGTGGACGTTAGTAAAACAAAGTAGTAATGAAAGATAATACATCTTAGATAACTAGAAGAAGCCCAATGGCCGGTTCTCAAAACACACAGTTACCTGAACTGTTATCGATCAGGAGCATAAGATTCAGAGGAATGAGCATTATTTCTAAATAAATTACCTGGGAGAAATTATCATCAGATAGCATAGAGATAGAAACGTCTTTCACATAATTTGTAACCTGAAGAAGAAAATCATCAGTCCCATGTTCCTTCTTCACGCCTAGATAACAGACAAACAAAAAGCACAAAGAGAGCTTAAGTTCTACAACAGACCAGATACTTTTTAAGCAAACAGACAGAATCTTAGAGATTTGATTACATTGTCCATTTAAAACCACGAACGAAGCTGACACAATCACAAAACCAATATAGACTTTCAGAAAATTACCTGTCACCAGAACAATCTGATAAGGGTTCTTCTGAAGATAATCATTAGGGTCAGACTTGATCCTAACAAAACTTCCCAACATTTTACTCTCAAAGGTGTCATGAGACTTCACCAGCTCCTGGACTAAACTCTTTCTCAAGTAGAGAAGCTTGATATTATCGCTAACAATCGCAGCAAAAATGCCTCTAGGTTTCTGAACAACCTTTCTCGTCCGGTTAGCTATCTTTTCCGAGTGAGAAATAATCTTCGGCTCATCGTCGTCGTAGAGATAATCGAAATCTGAATCATCCTGGTTCTCTTCATAATGCTTTTGAAGCAGATCATAGACTTTAATTCTCAGTATCTTCCTACTCCCGAAAAGCGAATACAACTTATCGTCACATGCAACTTTCTTTTTATTTGATGCAACTAAGAGACCTTTCTCTGCAATATACCTTCCAATAGTCTCACTAACCTCAAATCGAGGGATTTTGTTTGTTGTATCTTTACCAAGGAACTGGAGAAACTCAATGAGTTGTTTCGAACCCCATCCAACAAATTCGAATCTTTTAGGTCTCGTTTTCCTTTTCCTCGAACCAATCCCATGGCTATTAGTATTACTTTCCTCAACCCAAGTAATTTCTCCCATTTTACACTACTACCTTCAACCCCCAAAATTTCTCCAAAGTATCTATCTCCCAAAAAACCTATCCCACGACTAAAACCAGTACCGAATCAAAGCTTAAGAAACTCTCTAACTCCTACTGCTGCAAAACACATACTGATACTGATTCTTCACTACCAGAAATCAAAAGAAAGTCGTCCCGTGGAAGAAATTTCTCTTCGACAAGTGTTAAGAAGTTTCCAAATG